TAATAGACTTTCTTGCCATGTGGGTATACGTTGCCCATGGTACACCACGTGGAGGTAAGTCTATCGCGCACCCCCTAACCAAACATTATCTTGCTCCTAAATCTTGCCTCTTAATATTATTTTTGTTGAAACTTTGTCATAGTTAACAGCTAAAAATTGCTGATTCTTATAAAATCAAATGAGGTTTGATGTTTGTTTCAAAAAAAAAACAAATTATGGAATAGTGGACTTTGTTGCAGGAATTGGTTTTAAATATGTATTTCTTTGCCAAAAGTAGCTAGAACAAATGGTCTTTTCTCCCACTAGGAATAATTGAACTCTAATCAACAAAGAAAATGAACAAATAAAGTTATTAGAAGACATTTTCTAACTAATTATCCTCCCCTTTCAACCCCACCCCTCCCCCACCCCCGATTCTTGCAAAACTATTCATTCATCAATTTTAGAGCCATCCTTGTATTGTTCATAGTGTAGCCAAGTAGGAGGTGAGATGCTAGATTGATCTTATTCCAGCATACTCCAGTATCTTCAGACACAAAATTTAGTTGGAAACGTGATTAAAGGATGTCAACATATGCGCTTCTAAAATTTTGCGTCCGGATAGTTTCTTATTTCTGAGACCCAGTTTTGCGAACTCATGCCTAACTCAGAGTTCGTTATCAGAAAATGATGAAGACCCAACACAAAGGTATTGCTAAATTACTGGAGTGTCTTGATGGGGGGGGGGATATATTAGAGAGCAGAAACAAGACTTTGTGGCGTGATTAATACTACTATTACTACAAAGAAGAATCTTACTTTACAATACTGGTCAGGGGTACCCGGATTCAATCTCAATCCACAAGCGCTTTCAATAAATGATAGTAGTACTCAAGTAGGAAGTGGACTGCTCCCTGGATAGGAGTTCAAAATACTTTCTTTCCAATGATCAAAAATGCTGATATATCTGCAAGAGTACACGATTAAAGACATATAAAGACAGAAATGGTTGTAAAACTCACCATAACAGCACCCCATCTCCCCCCCCCCCCCTCCCCCAACCCCCACTACTTCCGCAAACTTTATTTATATCAAATGGAAGGCGTTTGATGATTATCATTAGCCCTTTAGTTGACTTCGGGCTTCACAGAGGGGAGGAGTAACATCAAAGTGAAAAATTCGATATGGGGGGGGGGAACAGAAGAGTGTTTCAAAGATGCAAAACAGACAGACACAAAGGTAGTAAAAAGGTGAAGTGATAACTGTGGAAGTAGTCAAATATGACATACAATGGGGTGATGGTAGTTTGAAGTCAGAAGTCAACTGCCGGTTAATAGACTTTTTTGCCGTATGAGAATACGTTGCCCATGATGCACCACGTGGAGGTAAGTCTATCGCACACCCCACAAATATTAATGGCGTCTTAGGATTACTTCGTATTTCGTAACCACTGTATTTGAGCACATTCTATTATAACAACACATAGCTTTAAACGAAATGTTAATAATTTTTGGAGGTAAAAATGCTACAACAATGACGCTGAATTATCGATTTACGAGTATTCGACATTTAACTTACTTCACTGCAAAGTGGTAACCGAAACTATTGGCGAATATTAACAAAATGGACTAAACAATAAAAATGTTGTTCACATTTCAGTTGCATAAAATGATCGTTTTTTGTATAATCAACTGACACACTACACAAAAATTTTAAATCTTTTTTTTTAAGCGCACAACAGCATTTCATTTTTCAAATAATGCAGACTACTTTGAAAATGATATTTTGCGAATCCACCCAGATTCGCTTAAAAAGAGTGAGATTGTTAGATTTCACAATAATTGAACCAAATTCGATAATGTAGGTAACGAGTTAAAAGCAACTTACCTCTTTAAGCGATTAATTACTGAAAGCAATTTTTATGAGAAGGAAATAAAATTAGCTCGATACGTTGCAATATGTAGATGGACTTAGCGATAGACTTACCTCCATGTGGTGCATCCTTGACAACGTTTACTCATACGGCAACAAAGTCTATTAACCGGTAGTTGACTTCTGACTTTAAACAACCCTGACCGGACTGTATGATATAATCGTCCAATTCTACAATACTCACCTTTCTTTTTTCTCTGCCTTTGTCTGTCTCTTTTACATCTGTGAATCACTCTTCTGTCCCCCCCCCCCCCACACCTTCGACTTTTTGTGACTTTGATGCTTCTCCTCTCGATGAAACCCGAAGTCACCTACTGGGCTAATGATAATTATCATAAAGCCTTCCATTCTAAAAAAAATAAATAAATTTTTTGGCGATTTTAGGTCCCATCAAATAACTCGACATAAAATTGGACACAATACACATTGAGAAGGGTTGGTAATTACACGGAGGTAGTCCATGTAATTACCTTAACAAATTAACCCGATTTCTCTAGCACAAAACCACAAAAAACAGTTTAATAATCGGACACTTAATAGATCAATTCCGATGAAACTACTCTAAAAAACGGTGGCATTAGTGGATTACATGAGGGAGAAGGAGGATAAATTGCCCTAAAAGGAAATTTATTCAAAGAAGGATACGGCTTGAGGGGAAGAAGACCATATACGCTGCTCAAATTTAAAAAAAAACTTTGTCTGAAGCGAAATATCAAACACCAAGCCCATCCAATTTCGAACCTGAAAGGGATTCAAAAGGAGCGATATTGATGGACCTTTCTAGAAGGACAAAAAATTGTTACTATAAGGGCATTTTGAAGAAGTTGAAAGCTTTCCCTAGTGTCCACAAATATCACTCTCTTTATTCTGAAGTAATTAAAGGGACATGATTTCATAACGCAAACGGTAACGAGGAAATTAAACTTTCAAATTTTATAATCCGGAATGGGGTGTGCGATAGACTTACCTCCACATGATGCACCCTGGGCAACGTATATTCATACGGCAAATAAAGTCAATAAATCGGCAGTTGACTTCTGACTTCAAACTACCATCACCCCACTCGTTGTCATATTCCACAACTTCTACAGTACTCATCTTACCTTTTTTCTGCCTTTTCTACCTTCGTCTTTGAAACACTCTTCTGTTTCCTCCCCCCCCCCCCCCTCTCTCGATTTTTTTCACTGTGATGTTCCCCCTCCTCCTCTGTGAAGCCTGAAGTCAACTAAAGGGCTAATGATAATTATCAAAACGCCTGCCATTTGATATAAATAAAAATTTACTCGGTATGGGGAAATATTAACAACTTTGAAGAAAAAATAAAGCTTTTTTTATTTGACCTGAGCTCAAACATGCACTATAAATAAGATAAGGCAATCAAGTATCCCCAGTTAAAGTTACATTAAATTACCGGGGTTTTTGAAAATTCGAACATGGGCGCATGTTCAGATGGGCGGTTATTTGGTTCTTAAAAAATTGTTTCATGAAATGGAATTTTCCATTTAACCACCATATGTGGGTTCAGGAAGATGCGTTAACATACCATTAAGAGGCTCATATCGTTTTGAAGAGAGAAATAGCGTCCAAGGGCCTAGAAGTTATACGGACACACAGAGTTTGCAAATAAATACAACCCAGAAATTGTCTTGTCGAAGTGTGATTCTTCCCAGAATTTAAAGATTTATTTATATCAAATGGCAGGCGTTCAGATAGTTATCATTAGCCCTTTAGTTGACTTCAGGCTTTACAGAGGGGAGGAGGAACATCAAAGTGGAAAAATAGTCAAGAGGGGGTGGAGGGGGGGGGGAACAGAAGAGTGTTTCAAAGATGTTAAAGAGACAGATACAAAGGTAGAAAAAAGATGAGATGAGTACTGTGGAAGTACTTGAACACATTACAGTGGGGTGATGGTAGGTTGAAGTAAGAAGTCAACTGCCGATTAATAGACTATTTTGTCGCATGAGTATACGTTGCCCAGGATGCACCACGTGGAGGTAAGTCTATCGCACACCCCAGAATTCAAAGAAACGAACTACATCCTTGAAGACTGTCCCCAAGTCAGCTTTGTCAATGGAAAGAAAAAAATGAGCAGGTTAATTCGCCAATCGTATCCATTAAAGGTCAGTGATAAGGTGTGATTTGCTGAAAGAACAAGTTGACTATTCAAGGTCTCATTTATACTACTTAGCAAATAGTCACACAAAAACTGGACCAATTAGATTGAAATACACCCTCAAAAAATGTCCAAATAAGCATGATATAATAATAGTAATTCATTTAATAGAAAAATTAAGCTAAAAATTTTCCAACTTATAGATATGGGTTAGCAACTGTTCATTTTTCATATTAGAGCAAACTAAACGGGTTAAGATCAAGACAAATAGGATAAGACAGAGCCTTGAATAAAACAGTTCGTGAATTCATAGCTTCCATGTAGTTGGCATCCATATAACCATCAACGCAATGAGGTGGACAAAAGTACAAATCCATCAGAAGATAGCGAGCTCATTTATTTTCAAATCTATCCAAACCAATTTTGCACTGAGCAGTAAATGAGGCAGAAAATTCTCTCTAACTTAATAAAACAAACCGATGCAACTTACAGTTAGATGCATGATATTCTTGCGGCCATCGGACAAAGGTTTTCCCAATTTCATTTTCAGCATAACACCAGAAAAGGGTCGTAGCTTGATGACTTGAAGTGGTCACATTTTGTTGCACTAGGAGACCCGAACACCCGTGACTGTGCTGATCCTTAACTGCCAGTTTATAGAGGCTTTCAAGGGCTTCGAGATTCCATTCAGTCAGTTGGGGATCGGTTGCTGATCGAATTGTTGAAAGAGCGGCTCCTCCGTTGCTCCAATTCCAAGCGTGGTCAGAAACCGGGACTGGAGGATAAGCAACAACAATTTTACAGGCTTGGTGCCACAGTGCTGTGAGATTGGCTGAAGCGTAACTTTGAGAACAAGCTTGATTGGCCAATCCAGTTTCGAGTAAAGGCGGTGGCGGGGGAATTATGGGAAGAAAGAGAATAGGTGCCGCTGAAATTGTTTTTAAGTAGATCTATGAATATTCTAACGTTACTGTCAGTTATTAATAACTTAAAAGCATCTTACTTTTTAAATAGACATCAAATTCGATTTTTCCAACGTCTTTGTAAATAAACGAGCAAGCATACTTGCCGTAGACATCTTGATCATCACCTAAAATTAAAAGATACTGAAATATTTGCAACAAGCCAATAGTTACTTTGATGGCGAAGAGTAAGTCTGGAAACAACGGTGTGGAGAGTTTCGATCCTCCGGAATTCGAAAAAGTATAGATCGTTATGCTCGACACTTTTCTGAGTGGGAGAATTCCACGTTGGAGAAATCATTCCTAAGTGAACAGATGCGTCGAAACGAACCTCGCAAATCATGGATGCATCATCTAAATTCGCTTCACTCTTAAGGGAACCATGACTACTCATCTTCGAAAATAAATCGCCTTTCGCAAATATGGTTTGAACAGTTCCATTCTTTACTTCAACTACTGGAATCAAAAGATTAAATGTTCACGATATTAGGTAGACAAAATTTGAATTAATTTTGCGTAAGAAAAATAATGAAAGTAAGAAATAAAACTTAAATAAGTAGTTAATAAACAAAACATAATAACGTTAAAAAAACTCACGGGACACCACTTTTAGCGTTAAAATTGAAGTCTGCCCTCGAAAATAACAAAAGTAAATACCAGCATCACCAGAAGCTACTGTGAATGAATAAAATAAACTGCTTCCATTCTGCTTAACTAATGTAGTCTTGACGCTATCGCCATTATAAGGCTGCCTTTTCAACTCAAGTAAGTCATGCCCTCGGACAGTTGTCACCTGTATTTGACATCTTATGTTAACTTGCTCGCCATCTTTCATAAAAAGAGATTGAATGTACTGCCATGTGCCGTTTACTTGAACATGTAATAAAGGCTGGTACTTATTAAAATTTTAATATGCGATCAAACCTCACAGTTTACACAGGTGCGACAAAGAGACAAAATTAGTGGAAAAAATGCAATCAAATTCATCCCATTAATCCATGCGACCTTCACCATTTAAACTGATAATTGCCTTAGTTGATGTGAATTTAACTTTTCATGTTGTCCTATTTGGTCATATAAATCATAATTTCTTTAAGATCAATAATGTAAATTTTTCTCAAAGTGCATAATTAGTCACTAACTCCATTACCCAATGAAAAAATCCTATTTGAAATAAAGGGAAATTGAAGAACGTCTTAATGTATTAAGCTTGAAAAATAATGCAAAAATTTAAGCCAGGAATTAAGTAATTTGAATAAAAAGTTGAAGGAGCAGCTTTTTATGAAATAATGTTTATGAACCAAGGTTGGTTATATATGTATACTCTTCTGATCTCGAGATAACAAAAGCTAATTCCGAGTGAGAATTGTTTTTATTTCATGTTTTATGTTCAACCAGAATGTTCTTAAACAGAAGGCAAACAATGATTACAATGGTATAAATGAAAAGCAAGGAAGCAGTAGAATTATCAAGAATCCTTAATTGCATGAAGTAAGTAAGAGGGGGAAATATAAAATTTCAAGTAATAGCTAGTAGTTTACAGGTAAAGAGGAAATAATTTCCTCTTAGAAGCCTTGTGTTCTGGGGTAAGGTCCTTAGTGGTGTAGCATGCGTTAATGTTCAATAACTGCTTTTTTTAATTGGGTGTCATTTTCCGATCCAATTACATAAGGCATTACTCAACGTATGCACATATGCAAAACAACATCTATAGCTCTTATGCAGGTAGTCTTTTCGTAGATTTCATGCATTCCACTTTAATTTGAGCTCTCTGCTATCAAATCTCATCTCCAAATTCAGAAAAGAAAGTCATGGGTGTAGAGCAATACCTTTAAGTATGAGAGGTGAATAGGTTGTGGTGGAGTAATGCATAATGATATTTAATGTCAGTTCTTATATGCAAGGAATATTAGTCGAGTTGCAATGTTATAACCAATCTGAAATGGCTGCCTTTAAAAATTTTATATAACTAATCCTTATTTGGCACAAAGAACACAAAACTATTATATTAAAGATATTATAGAACTCTACAAACTGTCTCTGTGAAAATGGTTACCTCTGTATTGCCTAATTTGTTCCAAATTGTAGATTCAAAACTGATATTGCAAGACAGATATGTGGAAATATAGTAGGTTACTAAACAAATGCACTAATATGTCGATTTTAAAAGAAAGTAGAGAATATTATTGACACGATTTGTTGTATGCATTAGGAAGCGCTCTACAGCTGCCATCATTTCCGTTTGCTAGTTTCTAAGAAGGTAATAGATTTGTCAAAATTAAGTTTCCTATGAAAGGAAGTACTACTCGTCCTGAGAAGACTTTTAAATTTAATTGAAATGATTGCATTTAATTGTATTGCGCGATTGTCACTATGAACAACTATAATGTCTAGATGTTCAGGCATTATAAATATGTGTTTGTTCAGTAAAATCGTGCAAGAAATGGCAGTAATTTTACTATAATATATTAACTTGAATAGTTTCAGTACTTTCTTTTAAGAGTTAATAGAGAAGGACCATTGAGTTGCTGTGTTTATGGAAAGGAAGCATTTTTGGTTTGGAATTATCAAGACATAGTCATTGTTTCGAGTTTTTACACCAGCTTACCTACTTCAAAAAATATTGAAAAACTTTACAGTGAGCGCGGCCAAAGTACCGCCGTATTATATTTTGAGTATCGTCGAGTGGTATGCAATCTTTATTTAAGGTTAATTTTTAGAGCAAATTTATTAATAGGGTACATATCTGAAATTATAAATCAAGCATTCATTATGTACACAGTTGATAATCATTATGCTATGTGAAAAAATATTCATTCAATTTCTTTTAACTGTTTGGTATTATTCGTTTAAACGACTCAAAATGAATTCATTTTATGTCCGACAAGAATCGTGTGATTTGAATGGATTTATAATTTGGGTAATAAATTTCTTTTGAATATATTTCCTTCATAACAGGAAGAAATAAGTAGAGCATGTGGACTCAGGGCATAGCCCCAAATACAAATACTTCAATTCACTATGAAACAAACCATTTAACGCAAAATCTTCGCTCACCAACTGGAAATGGTACTTCGTTTCTTGTTCTTATTTCGTCGAATAGATCATTTACCTGCCAATTTTCAGGAAATCCGTCGGTCTGTTCCTGGCCGACAAGAGCAATTTCAGCTTTGTGACCGTGATCTGATGGAGGTATTTTAGAGCAACTTAGAATATTGCTTTATTTTAGCGTAAATGGCAGTAATCTTGACTTTGAATCTTGTTTATTTGTAATTTTTACTTATTTTTTTGCATTTTTAACTAACTTAAATACATCGCAGCTTCGTGGTCGTTGCGCACAACTAGAAAAGACCGTTCGGTGGTGGTCTGATTGCACAAATAATTGGCGAGAAAAGTGGTCGTGTGTTCGGGATGAACGCAACCAATTAAGGGAAGAATTGCAACGAACTAAAATGGCTCTTAATGCGCTTCAAAGACAAAACGAAGAGCTTATTCATCGGTTTGATGAATTTTCTTTTTCGGAAAATAAGGACGGTGAGTGGCAATGTGTTACAAATAAATTGTAACAGAATGCACGTAATATTTTCTTTATTTTTTGAGCAGTTACTCAAACTCTTGATCTTATTCTTGAGCCTACTAACCCAAATGATTCTCCAGAGAAGGTGTGTTAGTTGGTTTATTTACTCTTATTATCTAGTTATTTTTCATTTGTATAGTTTAATAGCGTTTTATTTTATAGTCGAAAGTAGAGCAATTGGAACGTGAAAACTCCGAATTAAAGGACCAGCTGGTTTTACTGACTCAGCGTCTGTCTAGATCAGACAATCAATTTAAGCTTCGTCCTCGGTGCAGCCGATCTTCGGGCGCTTCTTCGTGCTCGGGATCACGTAGTCCTTCAACTTCGGGGTCGGGGTGCTCAGATTCACATTCTGGTTCAGCATCTCATTCTGGATCATCCCATACCAGTCGAGCAGTTTCTCCCGATCATCCTAAATCTAGTAAATATATGCTACTTATTTAAACTAAGTAGACCTTTAAAATTTAAAATCTCATAATCCTCTTATTGTAGATGAGAAGTCAAAGGTGGATCAATCCTTTGCCCAAACCGCTAAATCGTGGTCCATGTAATTAATTAAGTTGGTAATGTACCCTAGGATTAAAGAATAAATCTATTATCATTATTAATACATGCATTTTCAATATGAATGCGGAAGCAAATTTGTGCCAATTATTCTGAAATTTATGAAAAAATGCTTTGAAGTGATATATTTCGTTATCTTATAATTTTTTCATTTAACGTTGCTTAAATGGTCTGAATGTCTTCACATAAATTAATTAAGAATTTTGTAATGCACGCAGTGTCTCCTAATTCGCTCACTTGAAGTCGCAAAGATGTCTCATGCAAAAACGCTATCTGAGTGCTCATTGCTAATACCCTCCTCTCCCTTCTCAATTTCTCCTTTTCCCATCATCCATTCGCAAAAATATACGTGATCCCACTCAATTTATGGATGCTCCCGTGAATTATAAGCTTCATGCAGGGATTTCTAACATCGTCTTTTTAATCATAATCCTAATCTTTCTGTGTCATCCCCTCTCATTTCAATGCATAACTCAAATTGGTGTAGTCTTTTTTAAGCTTACCTCTAGTGTGATGAGAATTTACAGTCGCAAATATAAATGAGAAATATAGAGGCATTATTTCAGTTAAATTAAAGCCTCATCCACTGGGGTGTGTGATGGACTTACCTCCACGTGGTGCACTCTGGGCAACGTATACTCATACGGCAAAAAAGTCTATTAATCGGCAGTTGACTTCTGACTTCAAAACACCATCACCTCACTGTATGTCATATTCGACTACTTCCACAGTACTCACCTCACCTTTTTCACTCTACCTTTGTGTCTGCCTCTTTTACATCTTTGAAATATTCTTCTGTTTCCCCCTCCCCCTCTCGACTTTTTTTCACTTTGATGTTCCTTCTTCTCTGTGAAGCCTGAAGTCAACTAGATGGCTTATGATAACTATCAAAATGTCTGCCATTTGAAATAAATAAATAAGCCTCATCCACTCGAGTTTACTGATTTTATTCCACTCGCTCGACTGTGTCAAAATGTCATCAACTCGCATATCCCTGGGAAATTAGTTTTTGAAAAAGTTTTCTGTCTTGAATTCCGCTCAAACGACGATGAATGCCACGCCCCTTTGAACTTACTGTCACACTTTATTTCCACAACCAGCGCCAATGGACTAGCAACGTTCAACATTTGAATGTGAGGCTTCTTGAATTAATCTCAGGCTTGCAA